GTGACCGTCCTCCTACCGTCAGTGGGTCCAGGCCTCAGAGCCATGGGCCCGGGTGACCATCATTTCTGCAAAGTGTACTACAAAATGTATGGCCTGTTCTAAGCCAGGTTACAAAGTAAGGACCAGGGTAAGGGAGGGACATTTTCTTCCAGAAACAGAATTTCTGAAGAGTCCCAGTCTATCATTTTTTCCCAAAATGGTTGGAGGAGGGTAAAATCTCAACATGAGCTTCAGAGTACTCTGTGCCAAGGGGACAGAGCTGCCTTGCTGAGGAGGGGCTGCTGAGGAGGGGCATGGCCAAGAGGACCCCCTTCCTCGGGGAGGGACGTGGAGAGTTTATCCCCCGCCCTGAGGTGGGAAGGTGGGCTGAAGCCTGGCTGGCACTGAATTCTCCGAGAGGTTTCTTCTAGAAACAGACAACTCAAACGCTTCCTCTCACTTCAGCAAAGAAGTTATTTTTGAAAGCACTTGGCAAGTTCCCCTTCCAGCCTCAGGTGGGAGGCTCAGGGAGGGGAGTCATCAGTACAGCCGCCTTCCAAGCTGTAGCAGACTTCCTGAAAGTTGGAGACCCCATAGAAGTGGACGAAGGCTGCTGCCACCACCAGGACATGAAAAAGTTGATGTGACTGGAAACAGATGTCAAACTTTCCAGGAAAGAAGCACTCAGGAATTCGAGCAGCATACAGGCCCGCTCCGGTGATGTACATCACAGCCATGAGGAAGAACCAGCCCATCTGGCCCACAGTGGTGGCCTTGACAAAGCCCTCGGCGATAGTGAAGTGCATGGTGGGCACGACGCCGCTCAGGCCAAGGCCCAGGAACACCCCTGCCCATGTCTGCCGGTGTTTAGGAGGGGCGAACCCATCCCACTGTGCCACCATGATGGCGCAGATGCCCAGGACACAGATGATGGAGAGGTAGATGAGCCGCGGCTGCGGGGAGCCGTAGAAGGAGTAGTAGAGCCAGGGCACAAAGCTCCCCAGAATCACCAGAGCGATCCCTGAACAGTCCAGTTTGGAAAAAGTCCGAGAGACTTTCTCTGAATGACAGTAGACGGTACGAAAGAGCCAGGAGAAGCTCAGGCAGAGCACTGCACCCAAAAAGAACATCCCCAAAACCACCTTCTCCTGCAGGGGGTCCATGAAGTACATGTTTGGTCTGAGCATGGTCAAGATTCCCAGGAAGAGAAACAGCACAAAACCAAGCAGGTGGGTCCAGATGTTGCCTGTCTCTGTGTGGATGTGGAAGAAGCTCTTGAAGCAAGCCCGGAAGGAGGGCATGGGTGGCCTGTGGCCGTTCAGCAGGTAGTCGTTGTCCTTCAGCCTCAGGGAGCACATCATAGGGGATGACCCTCCAGCGTCCCTCCCAGGCCTTATACATGAACTCCTCCATCTTCTCCATGGCGTGGTGTGCTTGCAGGGGAAGTGTCAGCACCCGGACCTCCTCCTCCTCCTCCTGGGGCCCTGGGCATGCTTGTTCTCCTTCAGCTTTGGTTGGGTCAGCGATTCCCCGTTTGGTCTTCTCTTCTAGCAGGGGTCCCAGTTCAGCCTGCTCCACCGTGTCCGTCTCCCTGTTATTGGCTGGAGCCCCAATGCCCTGTGCCACCACAGGTCCTTTGTGAGAAGACCTCTAGCTGGTACCTCAATACCCGGCAGCTTCAGCTTGGGGAAGGGCTGGGTGCCCAGAGGGCAGAGATCTCCTTGTGACGGTAAACGCGCCAGGCACGACTCAGCTGCGGCCGTGGACCCTGCAAAATTTAGATTTCAGAGTTGAAAATGACTGGATGGGATTAACAGCAAAATAAACAGTATAGAAGAAAAGTGCAGCAAATTTGAAGATAGAGCAGTAGAAACTACCCAAAATCAAACACAGAAGAGAGACAAAACAAAACAAAATAAAATAAAATAAATAAAATAAAATAAAATAAAATAAAATAAAATAAAATAAAATAAAATGAATAGATAATCAGGCAACTATGTAAGAGCAACTTCAAGCAATCTAATAGACATGCAATTGGAAGTCCCCAAAGAAGAGACAGAGAAATATTTGTAATAATAATGACTCACACATTTCAAAATTTGATGAGATCTACAAATTCACTGATTTCAAAAGCTCAGTGAACCCCAGATAAGAACAGCAAAGAAAATTATACCAAGGCAAATAATAGTCTAATTACTTAACTAGCAATAAAGAGAACATCTTAAAAGCATCCAGAGTAAAGACATGTTTTGTACAGAGGAATAAGGATGATGGCCAGTTTCTCACTTCTCATCATAATCATGCAAGCCAGAAAATAGTAGATCGATATCTTTAAAGTGCTAAAGATAAAATCTGTCAATCTAGAATTATATACAGAGATAAATATCTTTCAGAAATAAAGGTAAAATAAAAATTGTTTATAGACATACAAGAGCTTAGAATTCACCAGTTCTTCAGGCAGAGAAAATTGAGACCAAATGGAAATCTGGGTTTATACAGAGAAATGAAGAACATTGGCAGTGGTAAATATACTGGTAATATTTTTTGGGAGAAAATAAAATTTATAGGATATCAAATATTATGACAGTTTAGAATCCTTTATTTAGCTGTTAGTGAACTCATTCTGCCAGAGACATACAGATAAAATCTGTGGTTGTTCAGCAACTATCAATGAGCTTTATAGGACTGCATGCTTTCCCTGCATCTTTGCAATAAAGCAAGTGTATATTGGCCCCAGACACCTTCTGCCTATAGAGTTCCTTCTTTCACCCTCAATGCTGGTCCTCAGAGCTACACACTTAGCAGGAAAGGTTGATGCAGCAAAAAGACAGGATTATGGCCCTGGCCAGTTTGGCTCAGCGGTTAGAGCATTGGCCTGCAGTCTGGAGAGACCCGGGTTCGGTTCCCACTAAGGGCACGTACCTTGGTTGCAGTTTGTCCCCAGCCCTGGTTGGGTCGTGTGGGTGGCAACCACTCGATGTGTCCCTTTCACATCGATGTTTCTCTCTCTCTCTCTCTCTCCCTCCCACTCTATCTGAACAAACTATCAAAAAAAAAAAAAAATGTCCTCAGGTGAGGATTAAAAAAAAAAAAGACAGGATTATGTAATAAGGTCTTTCTACCCACTGAATCTTATACTAAGTGTGTTAACCCAACCCAACTCTTGCCCCTTGTTTCTTGCTATATGTTCTAAATTGACTCAGTGTACGGTGTAATTCATGAATCTTAATTTGGTTGTTCTGTGTCTGCTCTTTAAGGCTACTGTAACTTCAAGGTATGTCCCATTACGATATGCTCAGAGGCTCATTTGAGGGGGGTATTGAAAGAGCAGGATTTCCCCCTGTATTAATTCATTTCTCCTCTGACCCACTGAGTATTAAAATCTGTGTGTGTGAAGGTAGTTAACTACTTTGCAAAGATACTCTATGTGCTTTGTCAGATGAACTCACTGGGAAGAAATGTTCTGTAATGAACTGTTTTTCATGGGCCATATTTAGATTATTGGCCTTGAAAACAGAGAATTCTGCATTCAAATTTCACCTGTTCTCTTGCTTCAATTACTCAAGTTCTCCAAAACTCATTTGGAAACCTACTAGAAATCTAGATTTCTCAGATATGGCAATCTATGGAATGAGAATTAAAATTTTTCTTCTCCTCAAATTGTTGTCATGATTAAATGACTTAACATTTTTCTGGTACTCGATATGGAGCTTAACACATAATATCCAACAGTGTCCACTCTGCTTTTCTTCTTTCCCTTATCCCACCTTTGCAACATTTCTGCTGAGCAGACATTCCCTCCCTTTTATTTCAGCTTCAGAAGTGGGGCACAGGAACCCAGGTCCGCATGCTATCTGCGTCATCTTCTGTCTTCAGTTAGCTCCCTCCTCCGGCCTGGAATGCTTCCATCGGTGGGCTACACCCTCAGCAGCCTCTGCCCAGGCAGGAAGCCATTTCTGTGGTCCACACACTTGTTTACTAGGAGCGCTGAGAAAATGCCCAGGCCCACACTCTCTGCTCTTCCTGGCTTCCTTCTCATCCTCTTCTTCATCTACTGCTGAATCAGCTACAACTTGCCTAAGGCAGGAATCAAAGGTCTGTTGCAGGCTCAGGCCAAAGAAATGCTGTAGGTAAAGAAGTAATCATTAAGGATCCTGCAGTCAGTTTATTTCATCATCACTGTGAGATGATTTTCTCATAGACTAAAACTTTGGGTAAAATTGGCCACTCCCGTCCAATTTTAACTCTTTGCCATGTTTCTACTAAATGAAAGTCTTGTAGGAGCAGTGGTTATAATCCTGTCCAGAAAGGAGACATGGCTCACCAAAGGCAAGAGCCACCTTGCGATGCCATAAACCAAAACTCAGATACAGGACGGCTTCCCCATCTCCCTACCTGGGCTTGTCACCTCTAGTGTGTCCTTTTCTTCTCTTGTATCTAGTCCAACTCTTGTTCCTCCAAATAACTGCCTCCCATTTTTTAAAGTGACCTCTTACTTGGGGAGGGAGAGAGCTCATTTGCATTGATTTTTAGGTTGAAGTCCTTCACGTGTCATTCTGCTCCCACACATGCCATTTCTGTTTTACAGGATATTCGGCCTTTCTGTGGCAATCAGACTTATGATGTGTGATGATGCTCCTGGGACTAAATAGAAAGGAAGTTATAAGAATAATGCCTTTCACCACAAGTCATATACCTACCCTGCTCTCTCTGTCCTTTCTTTTCCAAGCAGAAAGGAGACGGGTTCACATATGAAAAGGAAGATGATACGAAGCAGAGGACCTTCCACAGTTGTCCTTACTCACTCTAGCAGGGACATAGGACCCCACAGTTTGAAATCCACCCTGTATAATCAGATCATTGTTTCAACAAACTAAATGGCTTGAACAATCACTTCTGATTTCAGTGAGCCAACTCCAGGCCAGCATAGCCATAGTGCCATTGTTATCAATGTTAGCCCATTAGGGCTGGTATTTATGTGTATTTTTTAATAGGCAGAGACTGAAGTTTTCAAACTGTTAAAAACTAGTATTCATTACTTTTTTTAAGGTGAGGATACAGCATTGTTGGGAAGATAGGATTAGAAGTGAGAGATTCATTTTGTAAGTACATCCTTTATGCTTGATAGCCATGCCAGAGTCAATGGATTTGGTTGCTTTTTGTTTCTTTTTCCCAGGGAAAATATGGGAAAAGAATAAAGATCAATAAAGATATGCTTGAAATTACAAGAATTCATTGTTCTAGTTTGTGTTCATAGAAGGGAAAAAATACCAAGAGTGAGAGAACATCTTATATTACTTTTATAATAAAAAGCACCCATAAAGTTTTGAAATAAACATAATGTGTTAACTGTTAAACTTCCTTGTTTTTTGTGATGACCTTTTGTTCATCATTCAGATGCACTAAAACATACCAATTTAAATGAACAAATGTGATGTTCTCTACAGGTCTTCCAGGTATTTTATTTTTTATTCTTAACTAAGTCTCATGATAGTTAAGACTTTAAAAAAGAAAACTATTTTACATAAACAGGAATACTTGCTTCTTGGTATCATTGAGGAAAGGAGGAAGTGTGCCAGGAAGAAAAGATCCAGCGGCACCTGAAGAGCAGGGCTGGATACCAGAGATGCTCCCCACCTTCCATAGGAAACGTGGGCAGGCTGGGGGTTGCTAGAAGTCCTTCTAGCTGCCTCCTAACCTTCTATTGTTGTTGGAAAAAAACATCAGAAGCAGCCCAAGCATTTTTCTTGTTTCCCCCAGTGACCTATTCTACAGGAAGGAATACAATATCCATGCTCCATGAGGATACAACTTCCATGACTGCTGTCTCTGTGATGATAGAAGAGAGCCTGACCTTAGTAATGCTGTAAATAATGGGTTGAATGGATAAATGATACTGAAGAAACATGCACTATTTCATTCAGAGTTCACTGGTTTTTATTTTGTTTGTGTATTTGCTTATTTTCTATTTATTCCCATTACAAAGTAAACTGTCTTAAGAGCAAGAACATAATCTCAGTATCTAGTACAGTATTGCTACCTAGTTAATTTTAAGGAATGTCCAAAGTTCTTAAGTTACAGGATAACAGTATAGAAATAGGCAGCATATTAAACTGGTTAAAAGTTTAGACACAGGGATCCTAGCTCCACCCTTAGACACCATGTGACCTTTGGGCAGGTGACTTAACTTCTATTTTAAAATGGAGATAGTGCCCTGGCCAGTTTGGCTTGGCGGTTAGAGCATCGGCCTGGGGTCCAGAGTAGACCCAGTTCGGTTTCCACTAAGGGCGTGTACCTCAGTTGCAGTTTGTCCCCAGCCCTAGCTAGGTCGTGCGGGAGGCAGCCACTTCATGTGTCCCTTTCATATTGATGTTTCTCTTTCTCTCTTTCTCTCTCTCCCTCCCACTCTATCTGAACAAAAAATGGAAAAATGTCCTCGGGTAAAGATAAAAAAAAAAAAAAATGGAGATAGTAACAGTACCTACCTTACATGGTAGTTTCAAGAATTAAGTAATTAAAGCACCAAAAAATGCTTAGAACAAACCAAGCATATAATAAGTATGATATAATGCCTTCTATATTATTATTAATTTTAACATTTAGGCTAGGTTTGAAGTCTTGTAATTGACTCTAGCCTCTAGGTTTTTTTAGTTCATTTTTCCTCAGAAAAACACAAATTCCTATTTCTAAGGAGAGACAAAACTTTTAAAAGTTATAAAAATACTGAAAGACTTCTTGGACATCAAATAGCTCTTACAAAACATTTTGATGAGTTAATTGTAAAGGAATCAAAATCATATGAATTAAATTTTCTTTGTAATAGACATGGGCTTAAAATGAAGAGAAAAGTGCTTAGCAAAACACACTTTGGGTTTGCCAAACCCAAAACACTGAAAAACAGTTCAAGACATTCTGCAGGCCCACAACAGAACATTCCCACTCATCTGGACCACTGAGCTCCAAATTTGTTCACAGCTTGTCATTTAAAAAACATTTTAATCCTAACCTGAGGACAGGTTCATTGATTTTTTGAACAGAGAGGAAAGAAGAGAAAGAAACATCGATTGGTTCACTCCCATACATCAGGGATCAAACCCGCAACCTTTTGATGTACAGGACGATGCTCCGACCATCTGAGCCACACCAGCCAGGGTCACAGCTTGTCAGTGTTTGCTCCATCTTCTCAAAGGGTAACCCTCCCCCTGATTTATGAGGCTGTATGCCACACAACAGAAGCAGTACATAAATAAGTAGCGTGTAAATTAGAAGGCACAAATAGGTTGTCATCTGCATATGATTTTCATTTTAATATTTATTGAAGATCTTTCTGCATGTGAATGAATATGTGTTACATACACTAAAATGAAGATGCAGACACACGTCTCATAATAAGTTGGTGTTATATTTTTCTGTTTACAACATAACCACGAGTAAGAGGCAACTGGACATTTGAAAGTATTATTCACAATCAAATAATATTCTAAAACATTATTTCTACATAAAACTGTTTTTCTAAGATAATTTTCACATTGAGAGTCTTTTTTTGTTAAGTTTTTTTTGTTTGTTTGTTTTGTTTTGTTTTGTTTTTGGTACGTGCCGCTAGTGGAAACCAAACCTGGGACTCTCTGGTCCGTAGGCCAACGCTCCAACCACTGAGCCAAACCAGCCAGGGCATCACATTGAGAGTCTTAATGCCACACTGTCTACATGTTACCAGGACAAGAAAACATGTAACTGCCTGACCTGGACACTTGCCTTCATGTATTAAGTCTATGAGATGTTCTGTAGCTCTAATTTAAGAAAACAAGTATTCTAGATTTTCTATTTCTTCTGCAATAAATAATTTTCCACACTAAATCTCTTCACAAGCTTTCATAGAAGAGCAAAGAATAGCAGCCTGAAAAACAGATACCTCAGAAAAGCAGACAGGCATCAAAAACCAATGTTACTACTAATGATCTGGTCACATCTAAATAAGCAATGTTTTAATCATACAGGCAAGCTCTGCTACATTTGAATACTTCCTGTAGTGACATAGATCCAATATCATAGGACTTAATGCTTCAGTTTATAAGTCTCTCTATAAATAAAATATTAGTGTAAAATGGAAAAGAATTCTGTTTTTTAATATATCTTAAATTGAGATGGTAGAGGAGCAAAACTAACTTAAAACATATTTCTCTATTTTAAAATGTATTACTTTTATTATTTTTTTTCTATTTTGTTAAATGACTTAAGTAAAAAAGATACTGGCCTTAAAAGTATTTTTCCTTGTTTTAGAGCAATGTGGGTGGCCCCTTCCTTTAGAGAGTCTCATATTTTCTTTGAATAGGCAGTTTTACCACTCAGAGAACAATCTTTAGAACAAAATGTTGATCTTATATGAATAAATGTTGTCAAATAAAAAATTTGATAAATATAGACACTAGTTTGCATTTCATTAATTTTGTGTAAATATCACTAAAGAATTCAGTACAGGACCTATTACAAT